AGATAATGTTCTCATGCATGGCTCATGAGATAATGTTGTCATGCATGGCTCATGAGATAATGTTCTGATGCATGGCTCGTGAGATAATGTTCAGTCCAACAGGAAGTGGTTTCAGAGTCTGACCACAGCGCCCCCTGTGGCCACACTCTGAAACAACAGACCAAGCACTAAATCTGTCATTAAAATGAACTCTTCATTAAATTTAATACATGCAGGAAAATATTTTATAACTGATGAATGTCTCATATCCTAATTTTAATCCTAGAAAGTGTTGCTAAATTTATTTTTTGAAAGAAGCAAAGTAAAAAGGTCCAGCGCACAAATTTAAACCCAAAGAAGTCAAACTGAATTTACTCATGTTTAGATTTGAACTCGACCATCTCTGATTTGATTTCCTCGTGTTTCTTATAGAGGTCCAATAAAACTAAATGATACAATGGTTCACGAGATATTTTGCTAACTTACTCAGACATGGGCAGAACCATTAATACAATAAAAATACAAATGTACCAGTTTAATTTACAGGATTACATGTTAAACTAACAATAAACAGTACTTTAAATGAATCAAGGCTTAGTCAGGTCCTCTGGACGGTTTCTTTTTTGTTGAGACGTTTCGTCCTTCATCCTTTTTGATACTTTTGGCTTCATGTAGAAACAGTTTCCAGTAAAGTGAACAGACTCAGAACTCCTCGCCAGTTTCATATCAGAATATTTATTTTCATCTTTTTTCCTAATAAAACACTAGCTGCCATATTTAATAAAACAGCCAACGGCCAAGTGCCTCAGTCCTCCAATCACACGGGCCACACGGCTCTGTGGGCGGGTCCTTGGCTGGTTGTCACGTCCCCCCCTGTGATTGGTCTCCGTGGTAACAGGGGGCGGAGTATTGCCGTGGTAACTGTCGCAGGGGGCGGGGTCTCCTCGTTGGGTTCCCGCCTTGGTTTAGTTGAACAAAAACTCACAGACTGAAGAGCAGCGCCTCCTGGTGGGAGCTCCGTTTAAACAAATAAAAACATGGTGTGATGCAGCGAACAGAACCTACAGGGACAAGGTTCTGGAGTCTTTGGACCAGACTTTTATTCATTTATTGTTTTTTGCAGAGATTTAAATCGTTAACTTGTTTCTGTCAAGTCATCACAGCCAGCTGTAAATAACTCAAACTGAAACAGTGAGGCGTTTACTGACTCCCAACAATAAACCCATGAGGCGTTTACTGACTCCCAACAATAAACCCATGAGGCGTTTACTGACTCCCAACAATAAACCCCTCCAAATTAAGAAACAAAAACACACAGCCTGCCGTAACGCATCAAACTGACTTTGTTCTCCGCACAAATTAAAGCTACTTACTTCAAAGTATGAATTAAACGTAAAGAGTTTATCCTGAGCTACATCAAAAGAGTTTGAAAGAGTTCACTCCGGTAGTTTTAAAGACGTCTTGATTTGTGATTCTAAAACGAGGGTCTGCACTCAGCGTAAACAAAACACTGAATCAAACAGGTGGAAGTCATGATCAGTCATTAAATTAAACAGACGTGTCCGAATGTTCACTTTGAACGTTTCAGGGCTCTGCGGCTCCGGGGCGGCTTGTTTAGTCGTAAAGCTTTCAACCCCCAACTTTAAGTCACTTCCTGTTCCTGTAGGAGAACAAACACGGGTCACATATTCTTGACTCGAGGACCCGTCAACCATCGCTGTGACAACACTTTGACTGGTTTGGTCTGGAGCGGAGCTCCAACTCAAACGGACGTAGTTTAACGAATTTAAATGGTTTTAAAGCTGCGGAGTCAGGAAACAATCTCCTGTTACTGCAGCTAAAGTTTAGCTCTTTCATCAGGCGCCGAAAAGACCTGAATCTCTGCAGAAAACAGAAAGTGGAGTCTGTTTGACCGGAAAGACCGAGTTCGAGAAGCAGGAAAATAACAACAATCTGCAAAAAGAAGGAAATGAACCTTAAAAGTGATGTGCAGGCGCCTCAAATAAACAAATAAATTACATTTCAGCTTTGCTCTTCTCACAGAAGTGCTCCTGTCGCGTTTATTCACGTTCAAATTCACAAGATTATTGTCAACAAATCAAATAAACGAGAAGAAATTTTATTTTATTTAAAACTTTGTCTTGCAGTTATGATTTTATGAAGTTGAGTTTTATGTTGTTCCTCTTTTTTTTTTTGTAATTTTAAAACAAATTTATGGCTCAAATCTTAATAAAACAGGTGACACACACACACACACACACACACAC